AGCGGACAATTGATTGCCGGCTTTCTTCCGGGAGTTTTCCCAGAAAACTTTAACATTTTGAGAAATTTGGAAAATTAGAACATGAGGTGAAAGAAGCACTGTAACAGGCTCTGCAAAGTAATTTATTGAGAATTAGTTTATCTCCTTGGAATATTTGATTCACGAAGGTGTAGAAAAAGGCTCATTCACTGATCATCAATCACATACTTTCAGGCTGAAGGCCCTATGCAAGTTGTTATAATGAAATAAATGACTTGGAGGCTAGTGGCTACTGGTAGAGACTGTAGTGGCTATCGGAAGAGACGAAGAAATTAGTACAATAATTAATAACATTGAAAGAAAAGCTTCAAAAAGGTCAAGAAGACTGTCAGCAGAGAAAGAAAAAAGAGAAATCGAGGATAGAGAAATTAGAGGAGTACTTTCCTGCATTTGGCTGTAGTTGGCTATAGACGATCATATCTCCAGAGGAATGCAGAAAGGTATGGTTTTAAACTATCTGAAGGATTGATTGGTATGAGCTTGAAGTTATCTGAGCGGATGTTAGCGCTTTTGCTTCGCCGCTATCCCCATTTATCATCAAGCGCTATTGAATTGCTATCACGTGGTATCAACAACAACACAGCTCTTGAACTCGTAATGTTTTTTGTTGCGATCTGCTCTCAAGGTGTCAATAAATTATAACCCGACTAATAAAAGAATAATAAAGAGCTGAAATGCTGGCGAAGTGTTCGGCCTTGGTACAGGAATAAAACCTGGACTTACGCTGTCAAAGCTGGGTTTTAAAGCTCAACATCATTTTCATAAATCATCGGGCAGGACTGCCCTTTTTTCCCCTCTCTCTTGCAATCCACCAACCTATGAGCACCAGGCCTCAACCTTGGCCAACACAAGAACAATGCTTAAGTCCTGGAAGTTGATGGGAACCAATGCCCCTATCTTCGAAATTTCTATGACAACATTCATATCTTGAATATGGTCCCAATCCCTTCGATTCCCTGAGAGCCCCTGTTCTCTTTTATTCCCTGGGAGCTAGACTCACAACCTACAAGGTGATCAGGGATGTGAGCCAGAACGGAATGGAAAAAATTCGAAATCGTCCTGAAAACGATCCGTTTGGCAAACATTCTTACAGAGAAATTTACAGCATGTGACTATAGGTCCGAATGTAAAGAACGAGGTTGATTTTGATAAAAGAAGTCTTGAACGTCTGAAAATTAGAAACACATCGTATGCTGAGACCTGGCTATGGAGAAAACGCTACCAGGCAGCAGAAAGGCCGGCAAAGAAAGGGACGAAGTAATGAGCAGTGAAAAATAGGACGTGGCATTTCCGCTAAAAAAGTTCGACTGCGAGGCTGTCGAAATTTGTTTTTCTGAGAACGTCCATTCCTCTACGAAATCGCGGTGGCTCAGATTCAGACTTCTGTTGCTTGAATAACAAGTATAATGAATTAAATCTGTCCAATCATTTCTGTCTGAATGCCTTTTTGGAAGAGTTTCCATCATCTAATTCCTTTTCGCCACTGGTAGTTCTTTTGAAGTCTTTGGAAAGGCGGTATCAGCTTCTCTGCGTAGTGTTCAGGGCTGATCTCTATGCCATTAAAAGCATACAATGCGCCAGACCTAGAACGAGGCTAAAGCCTTCACCTCTGTCTTCTGAACAAAGTGACTGCGAGCAGTCAGTTGGACCAGTCTGCAACGGATGCAATAAGACTGACCAAATGACTGCTCACGTAAAAGAGTGAACAAAAAAGTCAAGAAGTTCTTTCCCCTGACGGCAAGAGCACCGTTGTCACGCCACCGGCCGTTGTAAAATCTTCACGAACGAGGCACAGAAAACAACGTAATTTGAGAACCGTTTGAAAAGTTTGACAGCCCGACAAAGCCAACTTGTGCCTGCCCATCACTGCTCCGACATTGCATAGGCTTGGGGGTCGGGTTGGGGAAAATAGTAGAAATGGCGGAGGATCAGCACTTAGGTCTCAGGAAATTAATGGGTATAGGGGA